AACCGTCCTGACCGCGTAGTTCAGTTGGAAGAGCATTGGGCTAGTATTCCAAAGGTCGTAGGTTCGAATCCCGCCGTGGCCAGGCATATTTTTTCAAGCCTGGCCGGTGCGGATATACACTCAGAGTAACATCACACAAACATCCTATTCACCTGAGTACATTACACCAATACAGCAGATTACATGATTATTAGATTACACTGATATCGAAGGAACTAGACTCAGTTCCGAAATATCGCATACTCGAACCGTCCTGACCGCGTAGTTCAGTTGGAAGAGCATTGGGCTAGTATTCCAAAGGTCGTAGGTTCGAATCCCGCCGTGGCCAGGCATATTTTTCAAGCCTGGCCGGTGCGGATATACACTCAGAGTAACATCACACAAACATATTATGAAATATATACATCGCTTCATCTATGCCTCGTGTCTCTGTGTCTGTCCTTCCCCGTAAGTCCTCTTCCCCGAATCCCGCTACACAGTTCACTTCCGTCTATACGCACTTCCGCTACTAGAACACAACATTAATAAAAGGTCATTCGGACATAGGTATGTACCATCATCGGGGTCGTTGGTTGGTCTACCAATTGGTCGTTGGTTTACCAGATTTGCTACTTCAAGCAGTACAGTGTGCAATTCAAATGGTGTGAGAAGGTTATCTCCCATGGCTTGTTTAAGGGCTAATTTGCAACTTTTACTAACGATTCGGCACATCCGTTTTGACGTGGGGCATTAGGTGTAATGAATTTCCACTCCATTCTTTTATCTGCTGCATACTCCTTGAGTTTCTTCACATCCCAACCTTGGATCATCTTTGCTAGTTCGCTCTCTGCGCCGACCAGTTGTGTTCCATTATCGCTCAACATTAATGAAGGGTAACCTCTAATCGCGAAGAATATTCGGAGTACTTGGATGAATTCCATTGTTGAACAGTCTGTTGCAAGTTCCAAATGAACTGCCCGAGTATTCAGACAAGTAAACAAAACACCATAGTGTTTAGTGGTTTTATTTCTTCCAATTTTGACTTTATACGGACCGAAATAATCACAAGCTGTATGGTAAAATGGAGGTGTTTGATTTGAGGCATCAATCTTATCTTCGGCAGTTCAGCCATAACTTGCGATTCAATCTTTGGATGCGTCTTCTTACAGTAAATACACTTTTTCTTGATTAACTTTGCCAATTTTTGCTCTCCGATAATCCAAAATTTTCTTCTTGTTTTCGCCGCTGTCGACGCTATCCCAGTGTGAGTAATCTGATGTACATCTTTGGTAATCAGGTATGAAATGTGGTGGTTCTTGGGAAGAAGTACTGGATGCTTCGAATCATACGTTACGATAGCTTTATCCACTCGTCCGCCGACTCTTATGATTCCTTTGTCATCAGTGAATGGACTAAGCATATTGAACTCTTTGTTCTTAACACGTTCGTGTAACTCTTTTTGTGCTGTCTTGATCCATAACTCTTCAGCCTGTTCTAACTCAACAGCTGTTAACGGGTCGACATTATCTTCGGGTTTTGTTTTTAATCGTAGATTTCGCATGTATAGTAAGATCCACGCCGTCACTCTCACCAATCTCTTCCACTTCGAAAATTTCGTTGGGTCAATTACTGTCGGTATGGTGCTTAAGGAAAAGGCTGCTTGGGTATTTCGACGTTCTTTGTCGAGTTCCGCGGGATCGATTAGCATAGCTGGTTGTTCAGGCCATTCTTCTTTGGGTTGATTCAGGAACTTTGGGCCATTCTTCCAACGGTGTTCTAGATCTTTCGCTGGAATGCCTCTCGATAAATCATCGGCTACATTGTGCTCACTTGGTATGTGTCTCCATGTCGATGGATCACAATTCGTTTGAATTTCCGCAACCCTGCTCGACACAAATGGTTTGAATTCTCTTGACTGACTACGAATCCATGTAAGGACTATCATACTGTCCGTAAAGAAAATAACTCTCTCGAACTGTAAACGACATTCTTCTATTATGGTCTTGTACAATCGACTAGCTAGAACTGCTGCCTGTAGCTCCAAACGAGGTATTGTCAATTCTTTAAGAGGGGCAACTCTCGACTTAGCAGATATAAATCGACTTTCATAATTACCACTTGACTTTTCCCAGCGTAAATAAGAACATGCTCCAAATGCATCTCGAGACGCGTCCGCAAAAATACAAAGTGTCGGTAGTCCAATAGTGTTCATTGGTGTTAAACTTCTTGGGAACGAGACATTATTCAAGTCCTCGATTTCTGCAAAAAACTCAGTCCACCACTTTGATGCCTCAGATGAAAGTTCTTCGTCCCAATCTAATCCTTGCTGCCAGAGTCGTTGTAAACCGATTTTTGCACGGATCAGGAACGCCGCTGCGAATCCAATTGGATCAAATACACGAGCCACTTTACTAAGGATCTTTCTCTTCGTTAATTTCAACTCGTTTGAATTTTCTTGTGACGGTACAGATAACTCATTAGCTTTACATTTAAACGTGAAAGCGTCCTTACTATTGTTCCATACAACACCTAGAACCTTTTCTTCCGATTCACCTTTCAAAAACTTAACACTTGATCTTTCTTCAGACGGTAGATTTTCTTCTAGAATTTCGTTCGATAACCACTCTTTCACTTTAAAGCCTCCTTTATCTAAGATTTCGTCGAGATCTTTCGTCAGTTGCTGGGCACATTCGACATTGGGTACGGAATCACAAATATCATCCATGTACGTATTCTTTTTCAACACTTCGGCTGCATATGGATGAGCGTTTTCTGCTTGGTCTGCCGTCTTTCTCAATGCAATTTGTGCCATTGCCGGTGCTGGTTTGTCACCAAATCCACACAGTTTTTACGTAAGTGTCTGGTGGTCTAGTTGTATCCATATCTCGCCACAAAAACCGATGTACATGCTGGTCTTCTTCAGGTATTCCAATTCTGTGATACATCTTTGATATATCTCCGCTTACAGCGACCGGTTGCTCTCTGAATCTGAGGATAACTCCCAACATGCTGTTCAAAAGGTCAGGACCTTTTATCCAACAATCGTTAAGACAGTGTCCCTTGTATCTTGCTGAAGAATTAAATACGATTCTTACTGGCGTGCTCTTCTTATCAGGTCGAACAACTTCATGGTGAGCTATATAGTGAACGGGACCTTTGTAATAATTTATTTCTTTTTCTGTTAGCTTTCGTGAAAACCCGAGATCTTCCATCTGCTCCATTTGTTCTTGATATGCTTTTGCATGCTGTAGATTCCCTTTCAATCGTTTTTCAGTTGCTTCCATCTTCTTCACAGCTTGTTCTCGGTTGTCGGGAAGGGTTTTGGGGTCAGTTTTCCAAGGGTACGCCATTTCCCATCTATTTCCAATTAGCTTGCATCCTTGCTCGATTAGTTTGGTTTCTTCTTGCTCGATCTTGCTCAACTTTGGCATTTCAATATTTGATTGACTAACTCCCATTGCTTCGCTCGTCCAAAAGTCAGTGAGATCTACAGGTCTTGTATACTGGACATGAAATATTCTACTGGTTTGCTGCAAGCCTGGTATCGCTCCAAAAATAATCCAACCAAGAGGTGAATGTCTCGCAACAACGTTACCGACTTTCTTTGAATCTCCAGTATGCATATAAGCGTGATCAATCCCAATAAGCATATCGATTGGGCCACATTCTCGGTAAATTTTCACTTCAGGGATTCCAATTCCTTTTACCATTTCATCAATATTGATATTTGAAATGTCATCGCTAATATGTGGAATTCCAACAGCTTTGACTGTGAACTTCGCACCAGACTCCAATGACGTAATGGGAACTTGATATACTTTTGTCGCCAACACTTCTTCTTCATCGCCCACTTTTCTAATAGTTATCGAAACATCCTTTCCCTTTAAATCCAAATTCTTTGCTGTACTTGTGCAAATCAGACTTATTTGTGCTCCAGAGTCGAGTAGAATGTTCCCTTGTTTGTGTCGATTGTTCTTTCCAGATATCTTCACTGTTATAACTGGCAGCATTGCTTCCGTGTTGTTTTCTACCGATGCTACGCCCACTGATGCTGCAGGATTTGAAGGATGCAAAAGAATATGATGATAATATTTACATTGAACGCCACTTATTGTCTGTGTACACTGCTTCCTTCTACTACAGTTTGATGCTCTGTGATCACGTCCGGCCTTCTTAAGACAACTGAAACAAGCGTGGTTTTCTCTTACTGTTTTCAAACGGTCCTCTGGACTCATGGACTTAAATTTTTCACATTGGTCTACCCAGTGTGTTGAATTGTCGCAGATCCAACACTTTGGTGGTTTTCCTCCAGATAGCTGATTGACATATCTCGAACCCTGACTCGGATTTCTCAGTGGAGCAGTTGCACGCATCCTCGACTTCATTTCCGTCTCCATCCAAGCAATGAGACCTTGTAAGCTTGCTGGCTTTTCATTCCTTTCCAACTCACGAGCCCAAATCTTTCTATCTTCCACACACATTTTCTGTTCTATTAGTGATAACATGTGATTGTTATCCATATCATGGGGTTTTCCCACTCCCTTCATCGTATTGAAACTACGCTTTACTAAATGCACCAGATCACAAAAGCGTGAATCTTCTCCTTCTTTCAGGGGTCGGAACTTTGACAGGTCTTGGGTTACTTGGTCCGACACATATCTGGGGTCTCCATAGATTGAGTCTAAATATTGCCATGCACCATCATAATCTGTACCAATTCCTTTGATAAGCTCTAGGGGTTTTCCCTGCAAGCATGCACGAAGGTACGTCATTGCATCTCGTTTAGTGTATCTAGATTCAATAGCATGCTTAAAGTCATCTCGAAAAATACTGTACTCTCTGACATCACCACTAAATCGAGGCATTTTTGGCTTCTCCATTTTGAAACCACAAACAGGTTGAACATTTGAAATACTTTGAGCACCCTCACTTGAACTTGGACTATTGTGTTCTTGACCTTGGTGGGTTGGGGGTTGACCTTGGTGGGATGGGGTTTGACCTTGGTGGGATGGGGGTTGACCTTGGTGGGATGGGGGTTGACCTTCATGGGTTGGGGGTTGACCTTGGTGGGATGGACCTTCACCTTGGTGGGATGGGCCTTGACCAGACCCAGGGATACCGTCATGCTCTTGCTGCCCATTGTCACTAACAGTTGTCTCGGTTTGATTGGGCACTAAACCTATTTCTGGGTTTGTTTCATTTTCAAACTGACCTTGTGACTTGACCTTTAAATAATCCTTTGTTCTGATCCTTATCTGCATAAACCTCTGTTGACAATCTTCAATCCATTCTTCCTCAGTTGCAAATTCTTCATCGCCATCCACCAACTGAATATATTCGTCGTGTTTTTCAACCAATTTCTTGTATAAATCTTCCAAATTAGCGAGTGATTCCTCAACTTCCGGTATAGGTCTCTCATTTTTCAATAAATAATCCAAGCCATTTCCTGCCCTTGTAACACTCGATTTTGCACATCTCCGCTTCTTTTTCGCTTCGTTTAACGCTTCCTTCGTCACCTCCGTCATTTTCTGAATATCCTTTAAGCCCTGGTCAGCAAGAAATCGAATTTATGGCTCGCCAGAATCAGAATTACCGGTTTGTAAAGTGACCACAAATAATTTCCAAATATCGTATAATAATCAGTTTTAGTAGTTAGTAGTAGTAATATTCGATCTAAAAGTATAAATACAAGAATTATCTACTGAATAAAGTAAATTAGTTATGATAAACAACATGAACTTACTTCTTTGGCCTATATCACTTTACAAAACACCAAATATAAACCTATTCCTGAACGTTAAACCTCGAGTAAACAGCTTAAAACCAACGTATTTATTTCCCGCTATTTTCTGTCACGTGACTTTGTCTGTTCAATGACGTAATTATTTATCTATTTTTAAATTAGCGAAACAGCTATTTTTTATCAAAATCTTTCGAAAGGTGCGGCGCGTTCGTTAATTTAACCTAACATCATTAAGCATACTGTTTTTTTGAACAATTCGATAAAAAATAGCAAAGATACAGATGAATTACTGATATCTCAGTTTATATGTAATTTAGTAAATGACATTGTAGTAACTTAGATACTAGCTTCGCTTAACGCTTTATTCCATATACGAATATTCTCAAGTTACACAATAACATGCTCATGTTCATATCGTGCATAATTAATTGTACATTAGTTCCGGTAAGGTGCGTTTACGTTATCTACTACAAAGGTTATGATTGGTTGTCACATTCCTCCTTTTTTCAGATAGTCACTGTTATTTTTAAAATTTAGTTGTCTTTTTTAGAGTCCTAACACCAATCATCTAGAAATAAATATAATTTTTTTTTCAGTCAATGTACTAACTGGTTTTTTTTTAATTAGTTATTGTTCTTCTTTATATAGTCTTTATACTTCCCTTGATAACTGCTTTTCTTTAGTCTTTCCGATCTTCGCAAATTGTTCTCACTTGATATTTGTTGTGTTGGTGTAGCGTACTCAGGTGAATAAGATGCTTGTGATGTTACTCTGAGTGTGTATCCAGGCATATTTTCAAACCTGCCCGGTGTGGATACACACTCAGAGTAACATCACAAGCATCTTATTCACCTGAGTACGCTACACCAACACAGCAAATATCATGATTATTAGATTACATTGATATCGAAGGAACTAGACTCAGTTCCGAAATATCGCATCTCGAACCGACTTGACTGCGTAGCTCAGTTGGCAGAACATTGGGCTAGTATTCCAAAGGTCGTAATAGGTTCGAATCCCACCGTGGCCAGGCATATTTTTCAAACCTGCCCGGTGTGGATACACACTCAGAGTAACATCACAAGCATCTTGTTCTCACTTGTTGTAGCTGTTGTCCCACTTGCTGTGGCTGTTGTCTCACTTGTTGTATCTATAGTCTCACTTGTTGTGTCCCGGATGTTGCTGCCGTCTGTGTCCTGAGATGTCGTCCTGAATGTTGTGGCTTGGTAGCTGCTTGGTACTTTTACACTCTTACTTTTTCATCATGGCTTTTGACAATTGAGCTGTTCTAAGTGGTTTAACCTTCGATGCATCTCTGCACTTAACTTTTCCATCCTTAATTACACGTCTCGCACGGATGGTTGACCCTTTTATGCTTGTCACAACGTATATGTACGGTATATGCTTCTTCCTTTTCTTCTCTCTCTTTATCAAAACGGCATCACCGCACTTGATTGTATGTGTTTTCACTCTGTGACGTTTATCGTGGTACTGCTTACGTTTCTGCTTGTAGGTTTTGTCATTCTTCTTGACCTCACCTTGGGTGATGTGAACTTCGGTGGGAAAATGTTCCAATCGTGTTCGAACTTGACGGGGCATCAAAACCTCGTACGGCGTTGACTTTGTTGCCGGATGGGGTGTCTGTCTGTATGCTTGTAACATATCATATATTGCACTCTCGAATCTTTGTTGTTTTGTTGATCAGCTTATTGAAATTTTCCACTTGGCCCTGCGCCTTCGGATGTATTGGTGTTACTCGCTTGTGGTGAAATCCCATCGAGGTATTCCATGGGTAGAAAAAATCTTCTTCAATTTCTTTGTCACTGGTATTGTGGATGTAGATGTTGCCATCTCCACTTCTGGATACCGTGAATATTGGTCGGTAAGTAGTAAGTACCAGTGCATATTTGTGGTTAGGCAGTGGTCCACAAAAATCAGCTTCTACCACATCCCATGGTCGATCTGGTAACTCTGTCATATTTGCTGGCACAAAGAATTCATCTCTGACTTCGTAGTAGGGTTTCAAAAACTGCTTTGCTTTACTCCAATTTCCGGTTTCAATCGTTCCGGTCAGTTCGCACAATTCCTTGTCTTCTGCCGTGGCTTTCTTGATTTTCGACCAGACTATGGCGTGATCTGCTTGGATCACTGCGTTGACATGCTTCTCAATATGGTCTTTGCCAGTTTCTGGAAAAGAGTGTCGTGATAAATAGTCGGTCATGTTGTTCTTTCCTGGTATGTGGATAGCGTCAAAATCCAGGTTTTGCATCTTGATTATAATTCTTTCAATTCGTGGTGGAATTTTCGCTTTGGGGTTGTTAAGAAGAGGAAGTAATGGTTTGTGGTCAGTCGCTAGCTTAAATTTTGGTGCTCCGAGTAAGTACATCTGCAATCGATTTATAGAAAATTCAGCTGCTAATCTTCAGCTGCTAATGCCTCCCTTTCGATTTGAGAATAGCGTTTCTCTGTATCGGTCAGTGTTCGGCTGACGTAATGGACAGGCTGAAATCCATCTGCTGTCTTTTTGAGTAAGGCTCCACCGAGGCCCTCTGGACTACCGTCGACAATGACTAAGGTTTCTCTTCCTGGTTGATAAGGAATTAGAACTGGTGCTGTTTTTAGCGCTGTTTTCAGGTCGTCAAATGCTCTTTGTTGCTCTGGATCCCACTCGAACTTGGTGTTGGCTTTGGTCAGTCTTCTTAGAGGCTGGCATCTACCTGAGAATCGATCGATGTACCGAGAAAGGTATGCAACCAAAAATGATACCAATTCTTCTTTGGTGTTGGGTTTCTGGAAGGCATTGACAGCACGGACCTTGCTGGCACTCGGCTTCAATCCTTCCGCAGTGAATAAGTGGCCATGGAATTCAAGTGTTGACTTTCGGAATTCACATTTCTCTTGTCTTAACGTAAGGTTGTAGTCCTTTAGTCGTCCCAGCACTATCTTCAGGTTCTTGTCGTGGTCAGCAAGATCTACACCTCCAATCATAATATCATCACGATTGTTCAGTGTTCTGGGAATACCCGATAGGATCTTTTCCATCTCGCCATCAAATAGGTCTTGACTGTTGACTCCCCCGAACGCAAGACGTTTGTATCGGTAATTTACCCATGGCGTTGAAAATGTCATGGCTTGTCTGGACTGGGGATCAGTGACAAACTGGTGGTAGCCATGGTTGAGGTCCAACTTGCTCAATATGCAGCAATCCTTAAACGCTGTAATAAAATCTTCTGTAATGGGTGCTTGGACTTGGCGAGTTCGTAACATCGATTTATTCAGTGTTCGTAAATCCAGGCTGAGGCGTATGTCATTAGGATTCTTTGGTTTAGGTTGTACAACCATAGGAGAACACCATGTTACTAGGTTCTTGATCAGGAACTTTCTCCATGATGTCTTGTTCCACAAATCCTTGGAGTCGTTTCTGGAGAGGTTCCATTAGGTGATATGCAATTCGTCCTGGTTTTTGTGCAACTGGTTCAGCCTCTTCATCCATTGGTAAATGTAGCTGAATCTCCTCTCCATTGCGGGTCGCTCTGCCAATTCCATGAAATAGATCTTGATATGGTTTGAGTAGCTCGTCAACACTGGACTGTGTTTCTTGTAGTTTCCGAATATTGCAAGTACTACTGGGTTTGTTCGGTTCTCTAAGTCGTCCTGTTTCATCAATTTTCACCATGCCCAATTCTTCTAGGGTTGTTCGTCCAAGTAAAGGTAAGGAGTTGATATTCCCTTTAATGATAACCATTGGTGCTTGTGCTATGCGTGTCTCGTTTTCAATGGCCACAATGCATTCGCCTTTAACTGGCAGCTTCTCTTTCAGCGTATTTAGCTTTACTTTCGACTCGTATAGTTGTATCTCTGGTGACTTGGTTTTCAGCTCTTGAAGTTGTATTTCATCCATAATGTTAGAGTCTGAACCTGTGTCTGGTTCAACGAGTGTTTTATGACCATTTATGTAAACAACACAGGATAAAGTCGTTTCATCACCTGTCCTGTGTATCTTTAAGTGGTTTACCAAGTCGCTGTCACTTGATGTGCTGCTTTCGGTCACAGAATAGGAAGTTATACCAGAAGCGTAACTCGAGCAAATATTTGTCCGCGTTTTTACAAGCGATTCGTCATCAACACGCCATCCTGGCTAGTACAACCGGCACTTTGTACCTACCAAATCCTGATAAAAACTTCCGGCTGTACTAGCCAGGATGGCGTGGCCTGACGTGAGCGAGTTAAAATTTTCGTGGACGTCAAACAATAAGGGAAAGGACTAGAGTTACGCTTCTGGTATAACTTCCTATTCTGTGTTTCGGTACTCGTCGGGCTTCGATCTCTATTGTAGGTAACATGCTTGACATTTTTAGTTTCTGACATTTTCCTGTCTCTCCGATTTCTTTCTCCCGATGTCGATTGTTGTGTGTTTCTTGTGTCTTTGCCTTCGAATTGTCGTTGTCGTCTGCCATTTGAAAATCTTTCTGCGGGCTTCGATCGACATACTTTGGCGTAGTGGTTACGTTTGCCACATGCATTGCAAAGAGATCCTATTACTGGACATTGTTTGTGAGCCCGGTCATATCCACAACGGTTGCAAGGATTTGTCGTTTTTTCACGGGTCGGTGATGAGCTTTGTTCACGGAAAATCTGAGACGAAGGTCGCTGTCGTCGATAATTTTGGACTCGTTTGATTGTTTCGTCTGAATTTACTTTCTTCTCCATCTCTTTAGCTTGTGTTCGGGTTTCCTCGTGCATCTCAGCTTCTTCTAGAATTTGGTCGAGCGTCGAATTCTTGCGTATTGCTTTGATGCGTATACGACATTGTTCGTCATTGTTTTTATTAAGTGGTCTCGAATAGCTTCGCTCTCGTTCGAGAAACTGCATTTCTTTGCTATTCCCCTGATGCGTGTATAGTATCGAACAAGCGATTCACCGTGCTTTTGCTTAAGATTTCCAAACTGAAATCTAGCAAAATCTTTGTTCTTCTTTGGTAGAAAATGTTTGTTGGGCTTGATTATGAGTTGTGCATAGGCATCTTCGCCGGCTTCCTCGCCTGTAGCGTCGAGAAGTGTGTCTTCTAAATCTGCGATTATTTGACCGCTGTAAATGATTAAGCCGTCTTTCTTCATCTCTGGGTCTGTGATCCCAAAGTAGCGAAACTGTCTTTCGATGTTCCGTAGCCATTTCTCCCATCCTGAAGCAGTTTCACTGCGATTTTTCGTTGATCTGAAATGGTCTCACGTTGAGTTGGCGGTTGGTCACGCTTATATTATTCACGCTCGCGTTTGTCTCGGAGCTAGAACCTTTTTTCTCTTTGTCGTGGCTCATAATTTCTTACTCTAGATCAATCTTTAGTACATCCTCGTCGCCAATGTAGTAACTCAGATACTAGTATAATAGGTATATTCAAGGAAGACAAGCTCTTCGCTTAACGCTTTATTCTATTTACGAATATTCTCAAGTTACACAAGAACATGCTCATGTTCATATCATGCATAATTAATTGTACATTAGTTCCGGTAAGGTGCGTTTACGTAATCTACTACAAAGGTTATGATTGGTTGTCACAGACGTCACATGGTTACAAACAAAACGAAATAACTCAAGAACTAAGCATGGGAACAAAAATCTTCAAAACAAGTTACCATACAGTTTTAAGAGCATTTTCGTTTAAGAAAATAAAAATTTTGATGACAGTGCCCCTTTTAAAATTGCGAACCATTTCATAACTTTGAGCAACTTCGACCATCTTTTATCCCAAACTTTGACCAAATTTTTCCAAGTTTTACCTTCAATTTTAAGCAAATATCAGTTCCATTTTGACCAACGCTTGAATTATGGGGGGGGGGGGGTGTTACACCCCCCCCTCCCCCCACCCACACACACACACACACCTATAGCGACGTCCCTGAATGTGCGGTTACCGTACTAAACTTTCTCTAAAATCCACATGATAATGCAGGAAGTTTTATATTTGAGTTAGGGGCCATTCACAAAGGATGTCCGAGCCGAGGGGGGGAGGGGGGTTTGGAAAATCAGGACAAACTCGGACATAGGGGGGGGAGGGGGGTTTTTAGCAATCCGGATGTCCGAAATTTAAAAAAATTCAAAAACAAATTTCTTTTTCCCTCTATTTTGAGCAGTCCTTCCCATTGTGAAATTGGCATTTTGACTATGCGGTTAACACTAGATTTTGTTTTAATTAGTAATTTATATGTTTTTGTGTTCACATTTACAGTTATAAAAAAGTTCTAAAAGTAAAAAAAGTTTTTTACTCTTGATATATACAAGGTTGTGTGAGTTTTTGCGAGGCATGGCGGATGTCCGGGGGGTGGGAGGGGGTCACTAATTCGGACAATGCCGGACAAGGGGGGGAGGGGGGTCTGAAAATCCATCATTTGGCCGGACATCCTTTGTGAATGGCCCCTTACACAGGAGTCAGAAAATTTCTATTTCTGGACTGTCATACATTTTCTAGGTCTGGGAACCCGACACCAGGCAGGTTTATAGCATGGCTTACAGGAAATAAAGTCCTTCAGCCACGGTTAACCTATCTATTTGTCAGGCCTACAGTTAAGTTAGCGTTGGGTTTTTCCATGGATTCCTTTCCAAGAGTTTCAAGTTGATGGCCAATTAAGAGGTACGCTGTAATGTAATGAAGCAGGGATTTGCATTTAATGTATTTCTCGTAGCAATTATGAAGGTCAACGAAAATAGGCAATACTTTAAATTTGTGCTGTGCATGTGAAACTGTTTCTCATATTTGTGAGTGGTATTGATAGGGTAGGCAAGCTTTGGTAGGGTTTGATAGTTCTGACAGCCTGTTCACATATATGAGCCCGCTTAACGAAACGTCCAGCCTGCCTATATGATCTCGCCTCCTAGCAATTTTACGATAAAACTTACATCGCATTATTATAATTTTATGATAAAAACTTACAGCCCACCAGCCCGCGAGAAAGCGGGCAAGGTGCGCGCTTGACGAGATCGCGACTGTGTAAGCCGAGACCATATATGGGTAGGAGGAGATGGAATTATTTCTATATGAAAGCAACTGTTGCCCAACAGAACAGTACAATTTTTACAAGCGATAATTACAGAACTACATAGTAATTTCATCTTGGTAAGCTGAAAAATAAACTCACGAGGCATCTCAGTAAGCGGGATCATATATAAACAGGCCATGAGACTTCCTCCACAACGAATTTATCTACATGGTATGCACTGCTGCGTTTTACTCTAAATTTACAAATTACGTCACCGTATGGTTGAAAACTCTAACTAATTATCAATACATTTTACATTTTCCGAAGAGTGAGTCTTGATGATGAAGAAACTTCTAGAATGAAGGGACCTTCACACTCTGGTCGAAATGTTGACGGAATAATGTGATATGATCCAGCAGGGACATCAGAAAGCTCTAATACGCAGAAACCAGTCCTATATAGAGTCAGAGACACAGTGCTAAGTACTATATATCACGAAGTAGAAAACTGCATATAATAATAGTAATTTGAGATAACAAAAATGCGTTGAAAAGCGAAGCTCATGCACACAACTGCGATTTTAGTACTTTGGGGTTTAATATAAGAATGTGAAATGTAGGAATTTGCTCAAGGCATGAGCAGGCGAAGAGTGGAGGAACAGAAATTTCTTGCTTACTTTCCCGCAGTAGAGAAGCTTCGTGTGAAAGTTTATTAAAAATCACAAAGACTTCGCGGACAGGAGACAAAACTTACACAGTCACGCAACTTATTAATGATAATGACCGAAATGCTGAATGATTTTAAATTATAGCGAATGATTGCATAATGGTAAGATATATACCTGTATGTATCAACTGATTTCTTGAAAACTGGATGTCCTCCAGACGAACTTAATGATATCATGATAAAACCAACAGCATATTGTCTAAAGTAATTTTATTATAAATAAATGAAATTGTATAATAATACAGTTATTTGGGGGTTTAGACGTTAAATATATGTTTCATAATGTATAGATATCACGAATTTACAGTAGATTAAAACATCTTAAAACACTCATTTTTATGGAATCGTACAGCCCAGCTGGTCATATACAGTAAAACGTCAATGTTATAATTCTGTTCAGAATCATGTAAGGAACTGTTTCGATGTAGAGGTTCAGATTTGACTTCCACTGCCGCTAACCTCCCACTTGCTTGTGTGTATCTGATTGGTTAATCGCGTAGATTAATTGCATCTGATTGGTTAATGACCTCTAAATGATAGAGGAAGCGGAAGTCAAACCTGAACCTCTCTAATATATCATCCATTACTACTCAAAGTTAAGAAAATTTATTTTTTCCTTCTATCGATGCACACACCTACCTTGGTCCGCGCACTTTCACAAGAACGCTAAGTGTCTTGGACGATGCAGACTCTTCCAATTCACAGAAGTACGCAGGATTATTCTTGTGAGTTTCGGGGTAATTGGGACAACCGCCTGCAGTAATCCCTTTCCATTCTCCAGTTACCTACATAAAAATTCGAATATAAGGCTCATGTTCGCGCGCTTGATCTCATGTTCGAATACAATTAACTAAACTGATGTAGGAAAACAAATCACATACCTCCTTGTGACAAACATAAGGATTCGGCACCGGTGAAAGTTTAAATTCAGCTGAAGAAAAAACCTAAAGTAATAATAAGTGAAAATTAATGTATAACTCCGCGTACGTATATAATACACTCTTCCGGAAAGTACGTCACTTTGGTTATAGAGCCTCGTTTTCGTGTGTGTGAGACTTAAGTTAAAGCATGACGTCTCAATCACGAAAACGAGGCTCTATAGCCAAAGTGACGTACTTTTCGGAAGCGTGTATTGCAGTGCTATGAGAGAATGACGATTGGATTATTTTATGGAAATCACTTGCCTTCTTTCCAATTTGAGAAACTGGCGTGTTTGTTTTTTATCGTGCAAATGTTTCCATTATTATTGCAAATATACAATTGCGTTAAGTATATCATGAAGAATGTCAAGCAGTTTACGATTTTCTTCATAAAACAACGTTTCGTCAGTGGCTTTCTTGGCCTTTCCTATATCAAGTTCTGTGTAGGGGATTTCATATTATTGGCATAGTATCTATGACAACATCGTGTAGTGGAATAATGTATTTCATATTGTACCTGACGCAATTGTGCAACAATTATTTTAATATTGCATCATTAGAGTAACAAACAAATAATTGGTCAACCATACACTGACATGGCGAGTTCGCCTTTAGCTGTTAGGTGTAACAATCACGACTTTTTTACAATTAATATATATTAGACATACATTTCGACAGTATCGATGAACTGCCCACTCTCACACCAGTTTCTGATAATCTAAGGAGACAGCTCGATGCAGTTATGGGCCTTAAATCGTATTCGTGCGTGACGTGGCCTGTACATGTATATCAAACCCACACAGGACCCTTGCCCACCATAGAGTTTCCAGCAGCTCAGTTGTTAGAGCATCCGTCAAGAACTCGGTGGATCGTGAGTTCAGTTCATTTCCACAACTAGCATGTAATAAATAGTCAATATACCCGTAAATAAATTAATATAATTCTTTCAAGCTCTTAATTTTAACTAAGCTCACACCTTCAATGTGTAGTGGATTGTGTTATGTTTCTCGTACTGCGATATCACCAAGGTGAACGTATTTGTTGATTTGTCCGGATTCACTTTGACCAGGTAATGAGGACTGTTGATCTTTACACCTTCGATGTAGCAATTATCTTTTAGAAAACAAACAGAAATGTGTAAGTACAGAAATTAAATGTTTATATAATTCTCTTACAGGAAATACTTAAAAACGTAATGAAATGTTAAAATACTAAATGTTTAAAATACTAAGTTCCAAAATTCTAAAAATCCCTTTCGACACTCGTTATATTAATTGGCGTTTACTAGTTTCGTCGTTAGACCTCTTCAGAACCCGCCATTTTGTTTCTGTTGAAATTCGCGAAATTTCAATAATTATATATTACAGGAAATATTACCATATAAAATTACAAAGTTTTTCGTCCATGTACATGCAGTACTGTGCAGACGTTTTAGGTCAATCTTTGGAGGACTCCAAATATAACTAAATTACTCTATAAAATCATATTTTCATAATTATACAGTTTGCACAGGAAGAAAACACTATATCTTTGACAGAGAATCTAACTATATAGGTATAATTTTTGAACAATAAACATGCAAATTTAAAAATTTGTTGTGTTTTCTCCTGGCATAGGCCTATATGAACATTTTTTTCCTCTTTCATCCTGAGATACTGTTTCGTATTTCATTCTAAATATTTATTTCACCTTTTATATTTCCCGACACAAAAAAAATCGGAAGATTAACATCTTGAAACTAAAGACATGAGTCAAAACAATTATATATATATATGTATTTCTTGACAATGAAGTTTTATATTGTACTGAGTGAAGACGATGAAGTCAAAATGTTTGATGAATTATAGCTTGAAAATGCTATGAAATTGGACAAAAACTATGGAAGCAGCTGTCATGTTGCTTCAGAAAATGGTGCCTCAGTAAACACAGTAAGCACCAATAAAGTCTGTGTGGTTTCAAGGACCTGACAATGGCAAGTCATTTTTTTAATAATAATTACCAAGAGGATACCACACCGATTATACTGCATAATAACTAAGACTTAATATTTAGTTGTTAGATTTATATATTATATTTAATTAGTATATATAGTTTTTATATGGACTAAATAGATAAATAGTGTCCCCATGGCTAATTGCATATACTTAATCTATTGCTAAAGAATACGTAGACACTTAAATAAAGTTATTATTATGATTATTATTATTAGCATGACAAAATTACTGGATGCTGATTGGTTGAGAGGAGTACAATTATTTCATTAATTGTACTGCAGTACAATTTTTTTTAAATGATTTTCCAACAACACTCTGTCCAAATGTGACACATTTTTTCTTGCCAAGAAGCAAGGGGGCAGGGAGGCGACCACCATTGAGAATCTTCCCGAAATAATTAAGCAGCCGATTTCTGACAGTACGATGCAAAACACTTCTAGAAATTAAACACAATTTCTATTGACTCAAAATGCGTAATTTGCAAAAAAAGTTTAAAATGCCCAGAGCATGAATATTTTGAGGTGACCTAAAACAGCACAGTATTGTATAGTCAGTAAAGGGAAAGTTCGGAAACTCTATTGAAGCAGAAAAAAATTATCTTTTGATTTTGTCTATGTTTATACGACAATTGGCCAATTCAACTTTGACGTGAACTGGAGGGTGATAATTCCCGTGCTTGTACAACAATTAAACGACAGTAGTCTATGGGCCCTGAAGATGACAACTGAGAACAATTCAATCCCACAAATACACGGAATGTGTATTCCCCATGTACGAAAAACACCACGTCCCACAACAGCTGTGATGATATAAAGTATATAAGGTATAAAGGTATACCATTCCAGCGAAAACAAATTGTTTCGAGCTCTTTGCACACATAAGGACAACGTAAATGAATCTCAGAAACCTGGTGTGTACCGCATTCCTTGTGAATGTGGTCTGGTTTACATTGGTGAAACTGGTCGAAATCTCTCAGTATGTCTTAAGGAACACAAGACGAATTGCGAGAAAGCCGAGCAAGATAAATCTGCTGTGGCTAAACATACTTGGACTTACGACCATCGTATAAAATGGGACGAAGCAACCATTTTGGCGATTGATAGTCATAAGTTCTCTCGCAAAATGAGAGAGTCAATTGAAATCGAGAAGCACAATACTATAGATCAGGAGGGAAAGCCACTAGATAGTACGTGGCGTGCTCTCTTTAATGTGCAAATTTAATTTCTCTTGTCTTGGATGCGCGCGCGTTAATTGGAATCACTTCACTACGTTTGAAATGACGTGGTTGATGTGCCGTTTAATTAAATTTCAAATGACGCGAGCCAACAGATCACGACACTCTTGTATATAAAAAGAGAGTGTGAATTAAACAAGTCACATATTATTAGCACTGATGAAGATCCGGGCTTACGGATCGAAAGCTTTGCAGTAATAAATTTACGTGGTGTTTCCACAAACAAAAACAATTATATTTTATCGCCATGCAAACATTCAAAGAACTTAGCTGTGATGATATCTAGACGACCTCTCTCATAACAGCTGTGACCATATAGAAGACAGCATTAACATGATGATAGAGTGTAGTTTGAGCATTACTATCATTCATACTACACCTGCATGCAGTATCTGGGAGGACACATAAAATCTGCAACACATGCAGGAGACTTGGATCCTAGACAACGAGCATGTTTCCCACAATACTCTTATCTCAAAAGTTCCATATTGGAGGATTGGAATCACAACAAACAATGGCAGACTATACTGAGAAATAGTGTACCTCCTTCGAGTTTCCAAATCTTGTATTCAATAGACCTTATGCATAATGACGTCACAAGGCTTGATGCCCGCGAGGAATGCTGGTCTTAGTAGTCATCGCACGGGAAAATTTCGATAATGGCCATTTTGAATTGTTTAATTTTCCGGGCGATGACTACTAAGACCAGCATTCCTCGTGGGCATCAAGCCTTGTGACGTCATTATGCATAAGGTCTATTGACTACGGATGATGAGCATCCAAATAAAATCAAAACTCGTTTAAATTATAAGAGATACATAATTACATATTCAAATATCATTTTGCTTACCTGGATAATAGACCCTTTGCCCTGAGGTTTCATAAACATGTACTGTAATGAATTCTTTGTTATTTGCAAAGTCATCCTACAGAAAGATAAACACTTCAATACTCATGAATGAAAACAATTACCCTGTATAATATGCTCTTTCTCATCGAGATTTTTGGGCATCTCGCCACTCGATAGAACTAACAGTTGAAGGATTTTTGAAGACGGAACTTTCGAGCGGACGATTACATAAAATCTTAGCACCAGTTGCATGGTATAGAGCTCTGCAGCGGAATCGCAGGGCTGCAGGTTCGATTCCTGCCCAGTGAGCTATATATATATATATATATATATTCGGTCAATGAGAAAAGTGAAGCCAAGATGGCGGCCATTGACGTCCAATAGCTCTGAAGGTCTTAAACAGTTTTTATACCGTTTTCCCCAACTAATTCCAGTTTTTTTCTAATGGACCGTATCATTAATCAAGTTTTCAGTTCATAAAATCACAATATTATTCTTTAAATCGAAGTCAAAATACGAAATTTCAACACACTCCTTGCCAAGATGGCGGAAATGAAGGAGCTATTGGACGTCAGTTCCAGTCCCTTTCTATTGTTTTTGTCTGCGCGGTTAACACGAAACTGGCTTCACTTTGAGCAACCAAGTTCCTACTCCAGATATATATGGAGCTCACTGTTCCTGCCAGAGAGCCCAATATAGACCTTATTCATAAATCGTGATGAGGCCTCGTATCCTAGGAAACGGGGGAAAAACGCGGGAAAATTGACAAAATGTTTTTTTGCTGTCGGCTATGGCAGCTTTTTTTCGTGAATATTACAGCTTTTTTCGAAAATAATATCTATAAAACTGAGCTTGAAAGTTGAAAAAGATACTTCTGAGAAAATATAACAAGATATTTAAAGCAAAAGATGCTGGAGTCAATCGAAAAAGGAAACCTTTGACTTTGTATTATTGCCAAGTTTGTATCGCAAAAACAAACAACCAACAAGGCTACAAATTAAAACGTCTATACAACACCAAAATCGTAAGAAATATGAAACAATTGTTGAAGAAATAAGATTACAACTTACTCAGGTAATGTAACCTTCATTTTTTAAACTTGTAAGCTGCTTGCAGAATGTTATCGAGCCACAGTCATAGTTCATATTTTTCCGTACGAATCAATAATATTTGACGTTCTCTTGTGATTTTTTACTGTTATTTTCTTTCATATTTATGTCAAATTCGAAAAATTATACTTCCATTCCATAGTTGTCTTGATTCTTCACGGGATAAACCTTTATATTGACGTTAAAATCTCAGTAAAATACTGTTTTTCGCTTCTGGATAAACACCATCGCTACGTTGTCATTTTTTCCACACAAAAACGGGAGAAAAACCGGTCGCTTTTATAATATACTCGTTTACCGCTTTCGTTGTGGGCACAAATCTTAAAATACACACAAAAATCGTTATAAATCGCAAAAAGCAACAAGAAACAAGCCGTTAAAGTCGACACAATATACTGTTTTCGCTTGTTTTCCCGCGTTTTGTTCCCGTATCCTAGGATACGAGGCCTCGTCACGATTTATGAATAAGGTCTATATAGTTGCCGTTTTAGCAGCTGCTCCTGGTTAAGTCTAAAATTGTATATATAATCTTCCCAGTAGTTGGACATGAAAATTAGTTGCCCTGAATAAAATTTACTTGCCATCAGACAATGGCCACAGGGTTACCTAGGTAGGGGGTATAAATTAAGGGAAAAACCTGTCGACCCGTTCTCCCACTGCAGCTCTATATGGCTATGTTATACTGCCTCAGATCTAGCTTTGGCCCACAAAAAAACCCAAAATTTGAATAAGTATACATGCATAAAAAATTTATCCGACAATGAAAACATAAACTTAAAGATGCCCAGCTTTTTGTGGCAAGGCAACTTGCCCAATCGGGCAAGCAAGATAAAACGTTTACTTGCCCGTCATGATATTCACTTGTCCCGGGCAAGAGGGCAAGTGTTAAATTACATCTCTGCTTCCGCACGAAATTTCTTTCTCAACATTACTACACAGGTACAAATCCATTATTTTACATTTCATCATTTATAACTTACCCTATCCAAAATATGCCTGCTTAAAAGAATCCAAACAACTGGGCTCTTATCGCTGGTAACATTTACTTCAAGTTTATACTGAGGATTTTCACCTAAAACAGATACCGCGTGTATGTGAATTAAAGTAGAATTAAGGGAGGTGCGTATTGTTATTGGTAACTACTGCAGTAAACTGTAAAGTTACCTAAATTGTAAGCGTCCCTCACAGGCCCCTTCCCAGATGTCCACGTCCTATATTTGAAAATAAACAAAATGTAAATAGAGGATTGTAAATATGTCTTTTTTAATATCGAGGTGTCTACATGCAGAGTTTGTAAGAAAACGGAGTACTCGAAATGAAAATTTCGGAAAGAATAATCGAGTAAGACGATCATGTTTACATTCACATTCACATTCAGCTTTCCAACGGTCAGATTTTCAGGTTAATTACTTTTTAATAACGATTGGTTTGCGAAACATATTCCACCATTGCGATTGGAAAATAAAAAATTAGATTCAATAACAAATCGATAGTAATTTTATGAACTCATTTTGTCAACAAAACGATAGGTTCCCATGGGTTCCCATGAACTAGTTTTAATCTATTTAGCAACTTAAAAAGCGTGGTTAATTGAAGCTTTACTAACTTGCTAATTTCCGTTTCAATTTTCATAGCTTCGAATACACATAATAGTTAATAAACAAAACAAAAAACTGGGAAAATCGTGCGGGTCGAGGTGCATGCATATGGATGATGCATGACGATTGTTCTTACTACTTTCTGGAATGGATTTATAGGAGAATGAAATAATTAAAATTAAACAATTCAAAATCATTTGAAACGTTTTAAATATTTATTTCGACTTTTTCTCATGAATAAGAACAGTTTGGACTGGAATTAAAAATGATAGATTTTTGCAGTTATTCTTTGCACTGAAGACACGAGTGATCACTTGTTCGAAAGAGAAAAGAACAAACTTTACAATAATAAAAAAGCCTAAAATAATTCCGAACTAATATTCCGAAAGTGATTAGTATAACAAAATGGAACGGTTCGAGAAGTATTAATATACAGGTTTAGATTTGACTTCCGCTACCATTAAGGGGCCATTAACCAATCAGATGAGTTTAATATATCGGATTAACCAATAGGATGCGCACTACGCCAGTGAAAGGTAGTGTTAGCGGTAGTGGAAGTCAAATCTGAACCTTGCTAATGAAAAATCGCGCGCGTGTAAATATTTCGCCAAACACAAGTGTGATTTTTCATTAATACTTCGAGAACAAGTGTAATTTCTTATTAATATCACTTTAGTCAATTTTACGAGTACTCAAAGACAAGAAACATTGCATCAATGGACCATTTGCATGCATTATAGACTAAATTTTGATCTAAACAAGTCTAGACAAAAATTTCATCACAGCTTGAAAATTTAGTAATATTCCAAAGTTTCGTTGCGAAATGTTGTAAAATGTACATAATATAGCCTTGCGAAGTTTGCCGTTTTTCAGTCATTTTGTATTACAAACGGGAAATTGACAGCCCCAAAGGGTATTGGGCTGTCAATTTCCCCCGCGTAATGCAAAATGACTGAAAAACGGAAAACTTCGCAAGGCTATATTATCCGCATTTTACAACATTTCGCAACGAAACTTTGGAATATTACTAATTTTGTGATGCTCTTTCAAGCTGTGATGAAATTTTTGTCTAGACTTGTTTAGATCAAAACGCAAATGGTCCATTCAAGCTGTGGTAGTCTAAATGTGTTGAAATATGAAACCACTGTTCTCGTCAGCCTGTATTAAATACAAGACGAGAGTTTTGACAATTACAGAAAAGGCATTTCGTTAGAGAGCAAGTATAGCTATAGCATCGGAATCCTATAAAACAATTTATATTTTTTACAAGTTGCCAAGAATTCTCTAGTCGTTTTGTAAGAATGAGATATTTGAAAATGATTGGAATACTTTATTTCAGAATTCATAAGTTCTAACTGGAAAAGATAGTTTACTAGTTTACTTATTTTGCCCGAACTTGTCTCAATTCTCTTATTAGCAATCATGGTCATGTAAAGTTTGTATGCAAGCAAGAAATACTTACGAATGAAGAACGTAGCGATTTAGAAATAATTTGGGATTCCAATTGATGTACAGCACGTCAAAGAAGTTCAACAATGATTTCCAATCAATCCAAAATACGCCTAAACAAAATAGTGATGTCTTGGAAATTAATCGATGATTTTGTATGACTTTCATGCATGTTTTAAATATACTCGTACATTTGTTGTTACGTTGTTTTGTTTGCAATATGATAGTTGTTAATTCGGAAAAGACATTACTCATTACTCTTACATGTATACCTAGTAACAACCCCTAATCTACATCAGCCTCAACTGGCAGAGCGCCAAGGCTAACTACAACTTGGCTCCATTTAGGCGTGAGCATGCATATCAAGGAGGCAGATGTATAATAAAGTTTCAATACACTAGTGCGTACGATCAGTCAAAACTGATTTGTATACAGCACTGATGTAGATAAGATAGATACAGACAATCTCACATCGTCGAATGATTTGGTCACGATATAGTTGCGACCACAAATGGAAACCAAGCTTAAGAATTCGACAAAATAATGGGAGCCACTTATTATTATTTTCTGGAAAAAAAAGTAGGCTGAAAATTTGTAAAAAAAGAACAGAATGATATGTCAAAGAGATCTGTATATTATACAGAGAGGCTTTTTTATAACGGTGCATTCAAGTCTTATTGAGTTTATTGCCTCACTGTACTGTAGCTTACCATTGTCGACTTGAATTGCACTCTTACGATCAAAATTCAATGCTTTCTGTAATTCAGGAGTCCAGTTCTCAGTGTCTAATTCAGAAAAATTTCCCTAAGAAAATTCACATAAATGGAACTGAATCCTAAGCTAATTTAAAGGTTTAGTTTGGAACAAGAGAGCAGTTTTGTACAAAATTCTTGGCGATGCAAGATACGCTACACAAGCGCGAATTCGTCGGCGCGTTGTTATTTAAGTGGTCGATATTTTCAATAACAAAAATTACCTTCCATCTCAAATGCGTCCATGGATTTTTTACTTGTAGAAGTTTAAGATTCTGAAGAAAAAAACCAGTAACGAATATCTTAGAATTTAGTATTAAGCAACTGGATAAAGTATATATATTAATAGTTTGCGGGAATAAGATTAGCATAAATTTACATTTTACTTTTTTACACAAAATATGACGTGATGTTTCTCTGAGTCTGTCCACACAAATTATCATGATCACACCGACTTTACCTCGTAGCTTAGTTGGTGGAGCAATGGACTAGCAAACCAAGGGTCGCGGGTTCGATTCCCACTGAGGCCAAGCAAAATTTTCAGCTTTCCAGGTGTGGAAACACTTAGAGTAACATTATAATGTGTAAGGAGGAGTATATACATACGAATCATCAAAAACTGTGTTATACTTGGCTGCCGTAATCTCAAATCTATTTAGGTGTTTCAGGCGCTGTTTGCATGCCTGGACGAGTGGACGGGGTGGATTGGTGGAAGGCATACCAAAGTTCAAACGTCAGTTAAAATAACTCAAATGTTGTAGAGAAGATCTCGTAGTTCAAGAAGATAATTATTGCTGCTTGAACAGCCATTCGTTTACAATTATACTATAATCTATCACTAAAAAACCGTGCACCGCGACTTATTTCAATACATCAAAATCATGTCGCCTCACATCTCGTCCCGGCAAAGCGGGATCATGTAAACAGCCCCTAAAACCGCTTACATAAACAACTTCGGGAATGCGTAGAATAAAAAATTCTACTCTACACGAAATATACGGATGTTTGGTACTGTGATATCAAGACAACGACAACAAGCTGATCTCCTTGAGATTTTATTGTCGATTATTGATGATTTTCAGAATTAGTCAACACATTCACCGAAATAATACCTGTATTTTTCTAATGTCGAGTACGGCGTAAGCGTGAGTGGGCACAAGACCAGCTCGTTCAGCAACGACATCACCTAAGTTACCAGTAGCTGCTGTTATTAAGCAGTCACCTAGAACAAAACAGAACCATCAAATAAATCGGCAACGGACAATGTACAATACGTTAATTAGCTCCCAAAAGGAGAGCTAATGTGTGCAAATCTAACTGAGTCACGAAGACAGGGCCGCAACTAGACGCGATAATTGGGGGGGGGGGTGCATATTCATATATTCATGTTCACATACCGTAAAAACAATCGCTTTCAAAAGAAATCAGTAGGGAAGAACACGAATATATGAATATGCCCCCCCCCCCAATTATCGCGTCTAGTTATGGCCCTGCACCAAGATCAATAGCAACAGTGACGTAATTTGCGGAATCGTTTATACGCCGTGTGTTGTACAACTAATGTACATTGAATAGTGTTCTTTAATGGTTTAGGTAAATAATCATGGCTGAAGATAGAAGTTCAAACATCTTACTCTTCTCATTCTTCACGATTTGGTATTTATCAATCCAGGGCTCAAAAAAGGATTTCCAAACATTTTGGGCAACTATACAGCACTGTACCTCTCTGCAATCCAGCAAAAATTCGATCAAATAGGGAATTGATATTAAGATCAGGACTATCTAATTTTATTGAGACTCTTTCTGGGATCCATCCAGTTAATGCATGAAGGTCAATATTCTAAAACGTACAAAATATTATGTATCAGTACTGCAACAACACAAGTAGTTAACAGAAGATTTACTAGACTTACATGCACAGTACGGAATCAAACTCTAAAATCCTGTGTAACCGTAAACCGGTAAAACGAGAGCTTCAAATTTTACTGTGAATGCAGCTAAGACTACAAGATTCGTTATTTGCGCCAATCTCGTCACATTCTGCGGTTATCACCGCCTTGTTGCACGTGAACACAACAGCGAAATATTGGGTGACTAAACATGGTGTCGTGTCTTTGTCAATTTATGCTCATGTTACGGTTTGAAAATACTGTGCAATATATATAGTACCATGCAACATTAAAATGGTATACTCATTTACTTACTGAATTTGAGCCTGGAAAATCATAGCCTCCCATTACCTGAAGAAACATTTTACACTTTGAGCTATTCCCTACACAACCGCACATACTCTAAAGCTTGGTTCACACGATGAAATAAGCATAAGCACAAGCAGCGGAACCTTTGATGTAAGCATAAGCATAAACATAAGAAGAACAAATGTTGCGTTCTTCTTATGCTTACATCGAAGGTTCTTATGCTTATTTTATCGTGTGAACCAGGCTTAAGTGTTTCTGATAGAAAATACACTGATATTTTTTCCAACAAGCAACTGATCAAAGTCGCACGTTTGAACTTTTTACGAAAAACAGCGAGGAGCTTCCACCTCAAAGAAATCTTTTCATATACCTTGAGATACGCTTTTTCAATAAGGCTGACCCACATTTCATTTCTGTTCATAGAATAAGAACATAGCAGTTGACCATCTTGACCTAATGGTAATTTATCATCAATAATAACCTACGAGAAAAATAGAATGTCAAATTAAACAGTAGTGCAAGGCGAGGCATTCATGCAGGCCCGTAACATCCACATGAACGTCGAGTTGAGTCATCAGTAAAATAGTCGAATCCGATGCGGAGGCTGCACAATAATACTTGTGCTGAAAACTAAAATATTTTTGCGTTTCCCAATATCAGCCGGCACCCGGCGAATTTTGCTGTCTATAGTGTAGACAATCGCTGCGGTTATTTCTTGAAATTATAAGCCAAAATATTTCTTCCTTACTAGAAATACATGCATGCAGTAACCCCTCGCCAATATTTTCCAAACATTAAATTAACATGAAGTATTCAGAAATGGCCCACTGAACGCAGGCTCGCGCTCAAGTGTTGCCATGACAACACGATATTCTTAAATTTTTAATTTTTCATATTTTTTGTACAAAACTGCAAAATAGTTCAAAGATCCGTACTTTAACTATACAACAATAAATTTCCATATTATATACTGTAGGTATATTATTTTGCATTTTGTAAGCTTTGATTTAATGTAAAATTTAACTTGAAACGCTTCGTAAAATGTTTTGAAATCTTGATTTAACTATAGTTCATTTCACGATAAACTAATAAATATAAAACATAATAAGTTACAAATAAAACTAATTGTTAGGTAATTTCAGTTCAGTCTTCAAATCAATTTGTTCTCCTTTACATTTTAAGATTTTTCCTCAAATTAAACTGTAATTTATGAAACTTAGAGCTTCGTTGAAAAGGAAAACAGTTCATGTTTTTAGGCAAAAAGTTAATAAAAAAAAACAAAATTCGTAAACATTAAATATTCAAAGGAAACTTGCCGTATATTTCACGATTTCCCATAGTAAATCTATTCTTCTCATCTCTTCAAACAAAATTGCTTCAATTAAGCTTGTTGTATATGAAACAATTTTCTAAATATATGTCTTTAAAATTGAAGTCTTGCTCATCCAACTCCTACACGCAATCAGCCATATTTTAGAGATCAGTGAGGATGACCACCCATCGTTGGTGACCGACGCCCGCGATATTTGATGAACTTTAGACCAGTGAACTATATACATGGAAGGCTGACTTCAGTCATTGACGCACTGAGCTGTATAATAACTGGAGGACCTGCTCCTATACTTCGTTCAGTCATCGAAGTGAAGCCAAAAACATGGCGGATTTTGAGTGAAAATGACGCCATTTCCATGACAACACTTACTTTATTTTCATGGTAGGTACCACTGACCATGCTCAATTCTGAGCCCACGGCCGTTTTCACACACCCCTGGTTTTTGCAAAAAAGTTTTGCAGATATTATAGTTCTCGTGGTTTTGAATCGGTTTTTAAAATTTTTTTGATATAAATTTTCTACCTTTGACTATTTGGACAAAGATATGCAAGTCGTTCGTGTTATTCCCGCCCGTGAAAGACGACAGACAAATTTAAAACCTCAAGAAATGTGGGAAAAGACTTGAATATGGATTTTATACAAAGAGTAAGAGGCAAATTTGCATATTTCAATTTTTTAATATTTAGACTTTACCTTATTTGACATGAAAATGATAAGCATAACGATGAAACTGACACTCTATTTGTTAATAAAACAACTTCCTGTGTAATACACATGGTAAAGTGTAAAATTTCCCACTATTTCACTAATTTTCGCAAGCTGTGATTCATAATCGCAAAATATTTGGTTACAAACTACGAAGCTTTGATCGATATTCAGTCACATATACGAGGATTACGACGGTCTTTGAAGTGCGAACTGTCTAGTGTATTAATAATGTTTAAAAGGTTGACTCCTGAGGTCTCGTTTTATAAACAGACATAAACCTCATTTCCAGGATGGCCTGTTTTCTTACATGTTTTCTCAGTAAATATCACTCTGAATGAGCAATGTACCTTTATAAGTGCACTCATAGTTCTGATACCCCTTGTTTAAGTTGAGGAGTTTGGTCACATTCTTTTGTTTACTGTACCTTGATCATATGCTAATTATGTTACTGGTGGATTTTTGTACAACCTATACATAATCTACTCTTGTTTGTTGCAGATTTATTCCACAATGACACACTCCTTTCTGGGTGGCAAGTTACAGTACCAAGCCTGGCAAGCCACACATATCTTTGGAAACTGAACATACTGTATTTTAATACATGCTTCCAAAAATTATGTCACCTTGGCGAGTCTCATTTTCACGATTGAGACATTGGACTTTAACTCATGCCACATACATGAAAATGAGGCTCCTGTGACAAGGTGAAATACATTCCGGAAGCCGGAAGGGTATATTTGACTTTTTTGAAAAATTATTGGCAGTAAAAAATTTAAAAAAACAAAAATGTATATGATTTTGATTTTAATTGCTATAAAACTTATTTACACTTCAATAAAGTTATCATAATCATATAATTATTTATGTTGTTATGCATGGTATTATAATTAACTAATTCATTTTGTTGTTTTGCATGTTTTTCTGCATGTTGATGCCTCAGTGCCATCTCTTGGGTATATTAAACATATAATTTCTGCAAAATAAAAGATGACATTATTATCATGAAAAACATTATACATCTTTACATCACAAAAATATCATACACACATATGTTAACCCTTCACAACTGGCAATGTGTCTTGATATGCCTTACTGTATTATTTTAATCTACCTAACACCAGACAATTTTACTAGTCAAGGGGAGAGTGCAATTACATGATCTGTTTTTACCAACTACCATTGATCTGAGCTTCAAAATTAAGTGTCATGTTTCAATATTCAGCAAATGCAATTACATTCCTAACTGCTAAAATATGTCAAACTTAACTATTATGAGCAAATTTCATCATAATTTCCCACAGGCCGTGTCATGGCCAATTGGACATCACTACTCCCAATGTTAGAAATCATGGGCGGATTTACTTGGGGTGGGGGGGGGGGGGTTAAACCCCTCTAATAAAGTGTTCAACTCCACCAAAAATTCTGCTTCAACCCTCCTATTTTGTGCGAAAGGCTTTAACCCAAACGTCTAACCCCTGCCAAAGCTCACTGAGTGGTGCCGCTTGCACCCCACCAGAAATTTTTCTACCCCTCCTTTTAAATAAATGAAAATCCGCCCTAATTGTTAGAAATGTTGTAGCATTCCAAATTTACCTCATGATTAGTGTATCAGTGACTCACTTAAATCCCGGCAGCTTGTGAGCAACATTTTTGTTCTTGCCATGTAACTATGACATCATACTGTGTAAAACTATATAGTTTTATATAGTTCTGAACAGACAATGGCAAAATGATATCTATTTTTAGTAA